CATCCAAGCCTCATACATCACCCTCCAGCATTGCGGGATATCTGAATGTGGTACTCCGGAAGGAAAGGAAATTTTCACTGGCGGGACTCCCTCTAGTGCAAGGCAACAAGCATACCCTGAAAGAACCAATGTTATGCATTGAAGATAGCAATGTTTCGATCCGATGAGATCGGCCCAAGGATGTGCTTTGCTTACTGGCTCGGTTCAAGCATCATCGAGGCGAATGATTTGCAGCTACTGCTTGATATCCTGCCTAGCGTTGCAGACACGACCCCGCTGTTATAAAGTTGGTACATAGGGTGCGGTGTGCCAACAATGATTCCGATTGACGTAGCTATGGACATCCTTCAAGAAACAGCGGTGGCGATGGATACAACCACTTAGATATGGAAGGATTTGAGTCTAACATGTGCCTTGGTCGATGCAGCATTAGCGTGCTCGATTTAGCCTGCTCGGCTTGTTGCCGCTTCCATGGGATGCTGGCTGTAAATGGGCCCTCTAATGGAGACTGGAGACTGGAGGGGTCTTGAGAGGCAGAAAAAGAAAAAGTGTCATGGTCGTTCACTTGATTTGTTCCACCTGGCTTGTACTCAAGCTATGATGCTGGCCACGAAGGATCGAAGACTGGCACATAGTATCCAGGAGCCCTCTGCCGAAGTTTGAGTCCACAGAAAGTGAATCATTACAGTTTTCTTGTCCGTAGATGTACTCTGTTTACATCAGGTATCTTCAACCAAGTTTATTCGCTTAACGCGCGATAGCCGCTGGGTGTCAAGAAATACTACCTCACACCTGGTCGCCGTTAATTTTCGAGGAATCTACTTTCCGAACTGTTACTAAACAAAGGACAATCACCTTGCCAGAAACAGCAACCTGCATGGGTCTTAATCTTAATTGTGCCCTCCCCTCCATGGAACGGCCGCACTACCCAATCGCACTCGTGATGCCGCCTGTTACGCCGGACCTCTTCCTCTTTCTGACTCGTGCATGAAGATCGGTCATTTTTTCATGGCCTTGGTATGATGGTATGTGCACGCTACATATGTAGGCATCGTGTACATACCACTAGTCGGCGCCGAATCTTTGCTTGGCGCTGCGTTCATACATCATGAGAGTTGGCCTATGAATAGTCGTATACTATGTACTACCCCGTCTGCTGAGTTACGGCTTGGGAGTGCACTGTGCACAAATGCACAGTGCGTATGATCGCCACGGTGGTTTTGATTGGCACGAGAATCGCTCCTCGCGTAAGGATCGCTGATCATTCGGGCGGTTGACCGCAGTGGAGAGTCGACCCGCCCACAAGACGAAAAGAACGGCGTCAGATCTTCCCTTCCTAAAATGTTAGGTTATGTAGCTGCAAATGCTATCCAAGTCTCCACGTCCGGCCCGGTTTCTCTTCATCAAAGCGGGTTGTAGTAGGACGGATTTCCTCAGCTCAAGGGATGTGTTTCAGCAACTTGGATTACGGGCTTCAGTCATATGTCATAGCTTATTTTTGGGGGGTCATGCGTAATTCTTCCCGATAGATTTTTCATGGAAAAAGAATGCTATGCGCTGGTCTTCCAAGCCTTGAATATCTTCCCCATCATTTCCCCTTACTGCATATTGAGCTATCATGCAGAATGCTCCTACATCGGAGAACGAATGGGAGATTTAAACTCCAAGCATCATTGTCGCCAAGAAGTTTCCCCCGTCGTGTGAAACACAATTGCCCAGGGGTCCGCGTAAACAAAGAGCTCAACACCGTGCTCCCGTGATGTGAAGTGTTGATAGTAACCTACCGGCGAAGGCCGTGTATCCTCCAAAAAGATCGATATTTGTGGAAGCATACCTTAGCTATCCTCAGAAGCCTTCGTAGAATATCTCGATGCGCGAGATTCGCTTATTGCAAGTGCATCGTGCTGTAGCGATACCTCACATTCGCTTGCAACCATACTGTCAATGACCTGTTCTCATGAATGGACCATCAAACTTTTCCCTCAAGCAAGGAGCTGACGGGATGCATCACTTCTGAAACATCATTTGATCAGTTCATCCAGCAAACTAAAGTTCCGGCAACATTTTGTTTTGTAAAAAGGCCCATCAGTGCCTTTGATTTCACGTAAAAGGCTCAAAATTTGACAGCGGTCAACTTAGAGAGCTGTGGCCAATACAGCTTCTTGCAAGACGTTTCCGGCGATCACAAGAACGTGGGCTTTCGTATGGTATGAAGCTGACAACAACAAGGCGGATGTCATGAAGAGGATGGCAAGAAACCATGGATCAAACGATTGATGGTATCCGCCCTCTAAGTCATGGAGGGTGGGATGGTTGTAGGCAAGTGGTGTGATGATGAGCGGTGTGACTGACAGCGGGGACAATTATATCTTCAGCTCACCTATGGTGAGGCTTTCCCCAACACCAAGGGAGTGAAAGCTAATGTACCTGATACTAAATTGAGGATATGCAATGCAATGTGATCTTGAGATTTCCGAACTAACAATCTACTTGGTAAGCATCTGAGTCAAAAGGGTTCATCCAAAGCATCTTTATGGCCGATGACAAGATGACCACCAGCCACAACCGGGGTCATTTGATATTGAAAAGACAAGTAGAAAATAATACAATATAATACTAAATGTACCACTTGAGCCTCTTTAGAAATGTCAAGGTCAATGCGAGGTCCGAGTCCTAGTGATATTTGCGTATGCTGAGCAATCCAAGGAAAGTTTCAGATAAGGAATTCCATGATTGATAGTTGTCTTGATATGGTATTGATATACGGGATGCGGAGCAGCTTCAAAGTTTTTCATTCTCATCTAATTGAGGCCACTAGTGTATGATCTTTTTGTAGGCCGATTTTGCTTTTTCTTCGTCTGTACCTACGATGATCTCCTTGTCCCTGATGCCACTTCTAGTACTCTCTAATTCCGTCCTAATTGCTTCACTGCCTGCCTGCTGTGCCTATCTAGAGCTTTCTTGGTAAAGCGTTATGTAGGTGACTGGGTCCCGCCTGTGATTCGTCCACTGTGCTTATACTTGCATGTCCGCCAGGCGCTATCAGCTGCACGCTGAGATCCCTCCAACCAATCAAAGCGGGGTGCGCAAGCACCACAGACCGCAGTTGCATCGTAAAATGTGGACCATAGAGCAGCACGGGTCAAGCGAACGCTAGGATTCGATACCACCTCCATATCGAGGTCAGTAGGGAACGGGAGTAACTACTACTAACAGCAATAACGCAAGTCGAAAGACTTTTCAGCCGACCGGCAGCTTGTTGAGCTTTCCCAGGTTGAATCATGTGGCTGCGATTGGAATCATTACTCATGGTCAGCTCCGCAGTCGTCATACTTTGTGTGTACACACAGAGCGTGGCCTTTCAAGGTTCGCTTGTTTAATTGGCCTTTGTTATCGAAATTGATAACATTTTGATTTTCAAGGTCGGCCATCGGGATATCCGCTCCCTCAAGGATTCGGAGAGATAGCCCACTATTTTCCCAGACCCGAAGAATGATGTTTTCTGGTTCTTCTCGTTTTAGGTGGTATGTTAAAAGAACTAAGGTTATGACCAATGGGTAATTTCCCTGGTACCAACGGTTCGATAATATGGATGATACGTTTGATACTTTCGAGTGCAATGTCAGGACGAATCGAAGATAATAATACATCATAGACGGGCAATCTGCGGAGATCACCAAATATGTGAGTACATACCTATCTACCTAGGTTTTAGTTGTTTTATCCAATTTATTGTCGTTTGGTACTGTGTATGTTAGTATCACTACATGCGAAACTTGATAGGGGCGGCAGAGGAAAAGAATGGTGTTGACACTGGACAAACCACATCTACGCTTGCCCCAAACTAGGTCGCCACCGATGAATCTACACATGAATGGCGGTTTGAAAGGAGCAAAGTACATATTAAAACCAACGAATAACATTACGATATCATTATTTCGAATAAATTCTCAGGGTAGAAGAAGACAGCGGCAAAGTGAATAACGTATGCCTACAACTCTTTTAAGGTACTCCAAATATTTCACCATCATACCGTACCATACCACGGGTGTAGTAGCTCGACAACAGCCCCAGTACGGCGGCTCCCTGACCCAGAGGAAAATCAAAACTCATACGATAACAGATAATAATTATGATAATGCTAATCGTCGCCTGCCGTCTCTTCCTACCCGTTGCCTCCTTGGATTATATTGCGCTCTTTATCCCCTCCTGTTTTGTACATCTCTCCTCGTTTCCTCCTGAGGTCTTTCTGGATATCATCCCCAAACCACTACTCGCATCTAGTGGGATATCAATCTTACTACATCGAAATACTTTACCTTGTCATTACTGCTTACTGCCCCCTAAGCCCCTCAGCTGATTGATTCAGCGCACCTCCATCTCCGCCCACCCTCCACTCAGGTTGCTCACAGGCTCTCAATAGATTGCGGTACTTCATATTAGCTTCCAGAAAAAAAAGCAACCCCCTGGTCCTATCTTCCGCCCATCCCCAAATTCTATCATATTCTTTGAGACGTCAACTGCTTCAGCAAGCCCCCTTTCTCTCGGGTCTGTCCAGGCGACAAACTTATACCGACCCTGAGATTGGACAACTTTTTCCTCTCCCCTCCAGAGCAATCACGAAAGGTTTTCGTTGCGGTGGAAGGTCTTGTGAACTTGTCGGTTTACCACACTTGTCCAAGACTTTCTATTTAGGCTCTCGCTATATTTGTCGAGGTATTCCCCTGCTTCCTTTTCCTCCTTTTGTTCAGGGCCATTCTCTCTTACCATATACATCCCCTTAACCTTGGAGGATGTGGATGGTCATGGGAAATCAGGGGTGAATTGTTGCTAACTGGTTTTCTTTTCCATCAACAGCTCATTTCTCTTCTCAATCTCCCTCCTGCTTGTTGTCAGCAAGATGTCGACTCCTGTCTTTCGCGTTACGAGTACCTCCTGAGCGTCCTTCATCAGAATTCGCCTGACTGGATACCGTCTTGTTGGGCGAAGCAACTTCCGTAATGGAGAAGCTGAACACTGAAGATGGCCAGCTTTTCATCAAAGTTAGTTCAGACCCAGTACCTGGTTCCTCTGCAAATAGGTGTGTACTAACCTATTTACTTTTCCTTGGTTAGAACCTCGCAAGCTTCGTACGCACCCATGAGAAAGCTCTTGCAAATGCATTGCAGCTAAGACGCCAAACCAACAAAAATGCACAACCGACTCAGTCGGGCTTGTCGTCAAGCTCGGCCTCGTCGACCTTGGCGGCAGCCTTGTCCTTTGGGCCATTGAGGTTTGCCTCTCATAACATCAAGCCCGCCAAACTCACCCTCACCCCTCATCATCTCTTCTACCTCCTCTCCTGCTTTGAGGACCTTTCCATCTCCGTGGGACCCATGAACGTTAGATTGGAGAATATCCATAACGACGTATCGCAGTCCTATGTCTCGTTTCTGAACAAACCCCAACGGTCCAGAGGCGACAGAGATTCCATTCACTCTGTGTCAAGTGTCCGTAGTGTCATGTCTGGCATGAGTGCTCTCTGGTCCTCAATAGGTCTGGGATCCAAGGATTCGGCTTCCAAGTCCGAGAAAGCCAAAGCTGCTCTGGACGCTGATCTTAAATATCTGTACTCTGCTTTTACCAAAATCCCGTGTTTACGTCTAGCCCCCGACCACCGCGCCCGCTTAATACGTGGGTACGAGGAGTTTCCCTTTGACACTGCAGTTCCTCTCCATGCTTTCAAAAACTTGAGCGTATTAGAGATTATTGATATAGACTACCGCTCATTCTTCGGCTGGGACCGACTGTCTGAGCAGCTGCGAACATTGACTTTAAAAAGGGCGAACGTCGAGGACATGGCAGATCTGCTGACGGGAATCGTGCTTGATGACATTGATAAACGCCGACGACGGTCGTCAAAGGCTCAGCACTCGCCAGTTCTTGGTTGGAACGGAAATACTCATCCTCAACCAGTGCACAAGCCTGATATCTCAGGCTCCGTTTCCGCTCCCGGCTCACCAGTCGTTGAAACGGCGTTCGGAACAAGCACAAGCCCCAAGGCAGTTTCTATGATGCGAGTAGGCTCTGAAGGTGCTACCCCCGGCCGAGCACGGACTGGAAGCGTTTCACCTTCACGCCCTACCAGTTCAAAGCACTCGAGCCATCGTCACAACCGAGGGACTTCTGCGCGGATCAGGCGTACTGGGTCAGGTAGCTCGAACTCTAGCGAAAACTCAGGGTACCGTAACGGAAGCTCGTCAAGTCTGCCCTCTGGTATCCTTCCGCCATCAAAATGGCGGTTCCTACGGCACTTAGGCCTCCCTGACAACTCCCTGACCTCTGTCACTGCAGCCGCCTTGGCACCCGTCGCCAACAGCCTGCATTCTCTTGATCTGTCGGCGAACCTCTTCACCGAAGTCCCTGACAGTTTGGCCTCTCTAGTCGCTCTGAGAGCTCTCAACCTGTCTCATTGTATGATCGACTCTCTTCACTCACTGTCTCGCAACCCCCTTCCTGCGATCACAGCTCTTAACCTTCGTGGCAACCGTCTCCGTTCGCTTGCCGGTATCGAGCGGCTGCCTTCGCTCGAGAGATTGGATCTGCGAGACAACAACTTGTTCGATCCTACAGAGATTGCCAGACTTACCAATCTCCCTGAGATACGGGAGATCTGGGTATCTGGAAATCCATTCGTCAAGACGCATCTCAACTACCGTATCGTGATTTTCAATCTCTTCCGCCGCACACCGGGTTACTCAGAAGACATAATCATCGATGGTTCGGGACCAGGATACACCGAAAGGAAACAGCTGGTCGATCGGGTTGCAGAGGTTGAAAGCGCGCCAGTCATTCGGTCAGCTGCGGCGGACCATTCGGCCGTGGCTGTCGTTAGCAAACCACCGAATGTCGCACAAGGAGCCGCAGCTCCAAAGGCTTTTCAAGCGCCAGCACTAGAGAATGATCGCGGAATTGGGTCCAGTCGACGAAAGCAGGGTGCTCGGCGGAGAATTGTTGACATCTCGTTGGATAAGCCCACTGATGATAATGGCGATACAGGTGCGGTGGTGCCTTCTGTTTCTCCCATGCAGCATGTTCACTTGCCCGTTGATCCGTTTGTTTCGACGCCTACCGACCGTCAATGGAAATCTGATGGTGGACCCCAGGCCGAACCCTCCAACGTACCTCACTCTGACGGAGCAGTCGACACTAGCTCCTCATCACAGATTAAAAGATCTTCCGTTCTGCAGAACATGTCTCAGAACACCGATTGGAAGGCCGACGAAGAATTTTACATGCAGAAATTGGAGGCTCTCAAGCAGGAGTTTGGTAGCAACTGGCTCTCGATGATGGGAGACCATACTCGGGATAAGAGCATCAGCATGCCTCGTACCGGGACGAGCATTGGCGAATCCAGCCTACTGTCTGCAGGAACTTTCCCAAGGGCAGCTAACCAACCTATACTCAGTGGTGGAAACCCCTGAGTCGACGAATGAGGATTACGCCAGTAACGACCACTGCCTTGGTTACATGGCGGCGACAGACCCTTTATGCCAATCAAAAACCTATCGAACGAAAAGCAAAAGTACTTATGAGACCAAAAAGACAAGAAATTTCGGACTTCGTTGTTGTTTGGTGCGGATTAAAGACTGCAGAGACTGCAATCTTGGAGCTTAGTTACACCTGGAAGCACGGCAGACGAACCTTCCCTTTGGCTCTGAGCATCTCGAAAAAAAATTGATAAGCAGGTCCTTGTTTGCGGCGTTGTCAAATCCTTGGTTATTTGCACCTCACCGTCACGACTGGCTGCCTGCGTGTGCCATTCTGGCAATTGATGGCTCGACTGCATTGTTTATGGCGTTACGTGAAACTTCGAAATTGCGGGCTGGATGTTTGAACACTTTTTGCTCCCTCTCCCGCCTCTTCTCGTCGGCCTCCCTGATTCTCTTACCTTACATCCTTATTTCTCTATGCGCTATCGACACCCAAAATGGACCGACATTTGGGAGGCATCACGGAAGAAAGTCGCTTTCCTGTTTAGACCGCTTGTATTGTATCTTTTGATGAAGCGCAGCTGGAGCTGGTGTCAAGGCGTTACTGGATTTTGCTTCAGAGTTTTTTTATGGTTATTTTTCTCCGGCTTCATACTTTCCCCCTCCCATCACTGTTTTCCTGAAATGTGGGTTTTCCGGTTCTCCTAATGATGCGTTGTGTGAGGATTACCATCTACATTCATCGAGATGTCATTGTCTATCATTGCACGATGTATACTCGCCTGCGATCTTGTTTTTTTCTTTCGGTTATATTTTCGGTCAAAGACCAAGTGATGAGATTCGGGCCTAATGCATGAGACATGAAGTTAACTATGACGAGTCATATTTCTGCAACAGACGATACTAGATTTTTTAGATGCGATTCACCTTGGCCGCTCTCGAGGACATCAGACGTAATGTAGATACATTCCCCTCCGCGTTTTCGGAAGATTGTGAATGAAAATCGGTGTCACGCTCTGGACTCTGGAATCTGGATAGACTCGGAGTCGTTGATATCCGTCCAGACTGGGGGTGGGGCTTCCCGGTAGGATGCTTGGGTGTAGACATCATGGTAGCTCGGCTGCTGGAAAGAGAAGAGAATTGGGAGGGTTTGATAGGGGAATGAGAGGACAGTTGACCAGATGCTTAAAGCTTCACCCGGTCACAGACGGACCATAAGTCCTAACAGAATCTCCTTGCAGAGGAAGGAGTATAGGGAAGTTTGTTGTCGTACTTGGACCACACTATGCCTGAGCGCTATTTTTGGAGCTGGATGTGAGCCGAGATCAAAACTTGTCATAAAGAACAGATAGATAGATAGATTCAGTTGTTGCTGTTGTTGTCAAACATATTCACCTACGGTGCAAAGATAGAAATGAAGCCATGAATAACAGGAAGATATTTAAAGTAGTCTTTTAAATGTGCAACATTGTCATGGAGGTGAGTAGATACCCGACATTCTTCCTCCTAGGTACCTAGTAGATTACTTGCTCCCAACCTTCACCTTACACAGAGGACAGACGGTACGCCGCCTTATGCGCGCGCCAATCCCAACCCGCAAACGCCAAATCTATAACTCTCCTCTCTCCCTTTTCTCTTCCCTTGCCCATGCTATCTGTGTTCTGGCCTGCATCACGACTCATTCTGACCTTTTCTTAGTTTCTCTGGTCGGTCACCTTGAGATTAGCGAAAGAAAAGAAAAAAAGCTAAGACTTTTCGAAATAAGACGCTACCCAAAAGGGGGAATAAAAATTCTTCCGCCTCGACCGCTTGAACGGGAGATAAGTCTAAGAGAGCAAGAGAGAGGAAGACCTGAGATCCCTTGATTGCCGACCAACAATCTTTCCTCCCCTCCCCTTCCACCCCCTCACGCCACCGCAACCCAAGATCATCGATTTCTTCGAAGCTCTCATCCTCTGAGAATAATACTGTCATCTTCACCAACAGCAGCAGATTGAACAGAGAAAAAGAACGTCCCTGTCGAATCCCCGTCGTTCACCTGTTCTGCTAGTCCCATCCCACTCTCAAGCCAATCCGCTCCGTCGCTTGTTTTCCCGTTACACGCTTCCCGTTTTTTTCCCACCCGGTCCAAAAGCAACTCCATCCAACAACACCGGGCTCTTTTTTCGACGCTTATTCTCTTCCAGAATCTGCGGGAGCCGCATCACGTCGTTTTGCATCGCACGTCATCAGTCAAGGATAATTCTCAGAGCGGGCTGCTACAATCTTCACCATCTGGCATAACTGCCAGATCCTCCACCTCCTCAACACTCCAAGGCCATTTGGCCTGTTGCAAACTCTTTGAGTCCATATTTTCATCTAGATTCTATCTCGGTAAGCCGTCTACTCTTTTTCGCTTCCCATCGTTGTTCCCGATATCGAGGGGGGAAGATGAGAAAAAAAAAATTTCCCGCGCGCATTGAATCACGCGTCTGGACCGCACTGTACATGATCATCGAGCAGCTCTAACCTCTTTTTTTTGCTATTACAGTGAATAGACGCCGCCTAAATCAGTGTACCGAGCGCTCCGGAAGCTACCATCTCCCCTTCGTCCTTCTTTTTCTCTCTTTCGTTGCTCAACGCCTTTGTATTAATTACTCTTTTTCGTTTTGGTCTCGAGAATCAGCTCGTCATGGCTGATCAAGAAGTGGACCTGGACAACATCATTGATAGACTGCTGGAGGTGAGGGGCAGCCGGCCTGGAAAGCAGGTGCAACTGTTGGAAGCGGAGATTCGGTATCTTTGCACCAAGGCTAGGGAGATTTTCATCTCTCAACCGATATTGTTGGAACTGGAAGCGCCAATCAAGGTAAGATGATGCCTGTTCCTCGGGCTTTTGCCGCGGCTTGGCGACTATGCTAGCCTACACATCTGATCGAAACTGATGATTTTGCCTTCATCAGATCTGCGGTGATATTCACGGCCAATATTACGATCTCTTGCGTCTTTTTGAATACGGTGGCTTCCCGCCTGAGGCCAACTACCTCTTCCTCGGAGACTACGTCGACCGTGGCAAGCAGTCGCTCGAGACCATCTGCCTCCTCCTTGCGTACAAGATCAAATATCCCGAAAACTTCTTTGTTCTCCGTGGTAACCACGAATGTGCCTCCATCAACCGTATCTATGGCTTCTATGACGAGTGCAAGCGGCGGTACAACATTAAGCTCTGGAAGACATTCACTGATTGCTTCAACTGCTTGCCCATCGCGGCAATCATTGACGAGAAGATCTTCACCATGCATGGTGGTCTCAGTCCCGATTTGAACTCTATGGAACAGATCCGTCGCGTGATGCGTCCTACCGATGTAAGTTTCCCTCCCATTCATAGCTTCATATCACGGATTGGGCCCTTTTTCTCGTTACGGGCCTCAATGGATTCCTTTCTGTCTGTAATGTCAAAACAGTCGAAAGGGTCCCGTCGGGCTCTCGCAGCTCAAGGTTTGCTTTGCTAACTGGGATAGATCCCTGATTGCGGTCTTCTCTGCGATCTTCTCTGGTCCGATCCCGACAAAGATATCACCGGCTGGAGCGAGAACGACCGAGGTGTATCGTTCACATTCGGTCCCGATGTCGTATCTCGTTTCCTCCAGAAGCATGATATGGATCTGATATGCCGTGCACACCAAGTCGTCGAGGACGGTTACGAATTTTTCTCGAAGAGACAGCTTGTAACGCTATTCAGTGCTCCCAACTACTGTGGAGAGTTCGACAACGCCGGTGCAATGATGAGTGTCGATGAAAGCCTTCTTTGTTCATTCCAGGTATGTTCTGGGCCTTAAATCTTCGACGCCGACTTGTGGTCCAGTTACTCATATGATTCTTTCCTAGATTCTGAAACCAGCAGAGAAGAAACAAAAGTACGTTTACGGGGGCATGAGCTCAGGCGCGCCCACTCCTCCGCGCAAACCAAAGAAGAAGTAAGAAATCATACGAGCTTTTCCATGTGCAGCAGGTTCGGGCGGAGATAAAACGTTACAATCCCACATTCGTCAACACACGACACAACGAATTACCACAGCGACCCCTGAACACATAACCTCAGACGATCGAACGCGGATTCACCAGGCCATCCAGAGACCTCTCGACATGCAGGACCGTCACATTATCCTCCCTCCATCGCTAATCCAGCGAACTCCGGTCTTACAGTCTCCTTCTACGCTGAACTTTTTCTCTTATCTCTATATGGAAGGTACTTTCTGCTCCTTGTAGGGGTTTTGTTTCTTATTGTCTTTTCTCTTTTCTTTTATTTCATCCATTTTCCTGTTTATCTTCATTTCTTCTCCTCTTTCTCTGTGTTACCCTCTTCGTTGTTCCGGACTATCTTGACAGGTGGAGGCGAAGCGACGGGCTGCATCGTGGTGTTCTCCGTTTGCTTTTTTTCTCATTCTGAACAATCTTCCTGTGAGTGTAATGCCAAACCGAATAAGCAACGACGTGTCCGTGTCTTCCGAACTGTGCCACGGCTCTTTTTTACAAAGTCTAGCTCCTTTGCATCTGCATGTTGCGACGCCTGATAACGATCAACGCGAATGAAGGATACGCTACAGTGGCCGCTAGATGCTTGTTACATGACAAGGTACTTGACGAAGGTGGTAGACAAGATTGACTGTGGCGGGATATACATTTTTTCATTTCGTTTATCTGGTGCATGACGCTCGAATGCATTTGGGGGTTGTAGGTTAGGTCCGAATTAACGGGCTACTTTTGTCACTCATACAAGAATGTCTCCTGAGTTACACCCGGTATATCTCTCTTCGGTTGATTATCAGCCAGTGTAACACGTAGCTTGAAGTAAAGAAGGAGATTTCAAAAAGAACTTGTGACTTGAACTAATCGCTAGAATCTGCATTTGACAGAGGGGGAAATGAGGGCTAAAGACTGATAGGGACGGAGGGGGCATAGTTCCATCTTCATCATCATCATTATCGATAGACCGGTAGCAAAGTGTAGTG